ATTGCCTCTGTGGTAATCATATACAAATTCCAATTAGCATAAGAATAATTGGAATAGAAATGAAATAAACCCAAATAAGTCATTATGGTTAAGTAGGTACTTAACAATGCTTGCTAATATAAATGGTATAAAATGTCTAATAAATTCATTAAATTATTTTATCACTTACCAAAATGTCACAGTTATTGATTTATAATTGACTGGTATGCTTTCTCTTTCCCTGTAAGTCTTTTGGTGAAATATAATATGAACAGTTGATGCCCAGAAGGTAAGAGAATGGGATAAGGAGACATTAGGCTTGATTAATCTTTTTTTTTTTTTTTTTTTTTTTGGAGTTGGAGTCTCACTCTGTCGCCCAGACTGGAGTGCAGTGGCCGCTCCCGGCCACTGCAGCCTCGACCTGCTGGGCTCCGGCGATCCTTCCGCCTCAGCCTTCCAAGTAGCCGGAATTACAGGCATGCGCTACCATGCCCGGCTGATTTTTTGATTTACTGTAGAGATGAGGTCTCGATGCCCAGGCGGGTCTCAAACCCGCGGGCTCAGGCAATCCACTCACCTCAGCCTCCCAAAGACGCGGAATTACAGGCTGAGCCACCGAGCCCAGCGGCTTGATTAATCTTAAATTGGTTTTTCTTCTTTTGGCTGTTTAAAAACCTTTTATGTTTGACCTATTATGTTTACTATAGTCTAAATATCCCCAACATGTATGTGTTGAAACTTAATACCATTTGGTGGTATGAAGAGGTGGGACTTTTTAGGACATGATTAGGTCAAAAAGATTCCACCATCATGAATGGATTAGTGCCTTATAAAAGTGCTGGAGGAAACTAGCTCAGACCCTTTTTTGTTCTTTGGGTTTTCCCCCATGTGAGAACATAAGATTTTCTCTTTTTGCCCTTTTCGCTCCTTTGCCATATGTGGATGCAGCAAGAAGGCCCTCCCCAGACACCAAAGGCCTGTGATTTTTAGACTTATCATCATCCAGAACTGTAAGAAATAAATTCCCGTTATTCATAAATTATCCAGTCTCAGGTATGTTGTTACAGCAGTACACACAGACTAAGACAATGTTTATTTAAAATTTAATAGTGGAATCCATTAGACCAAAATCTTATTTGAAATGTACAGAGAAATTGTACAATTTTCCCCTTGACTAACAAATTAAAAATACAAATAGAATTTAATACATTTCCTTTTAGAATTACTTGTTTGGGCTTTGAGGATTCAAATAGAACATCCTATCATTTAATCTGTAATAGTTTGACTCTAAACCTCAACCTTAAGAACATAGTGAGGGCGCTATGATTGTTGTCAGAAAAGAAAAAGAACAGATTGGAAAACCAAAAGTTTGTAAGTCTTATGATGTATATCTGCTTAGCTATTAACTTGATTTGGAAATTCTCAAATACCTGAGAATTGATGGGAGCTTAGAAATTTTACCCCTCACTCTTTGTTTGTATTGTAACCTTTGTCAAGGTATCAGTTTGCAGTGAAACCTAAAGACCCTAAAGAGATTAAACATAAAAGAGAAATAAGGGAAAGGTTTCTGGATTCGAATTTTAAGTAGAGCCTATGGTGAGAAAAATCCTACCTCTGCTGTTGACTTCTCTCAGCTCATAAGGCCACGTGTGCCTAGTTAAGTGTCTAAAGCAATCCACATTATTCATGCCACATTTATTTGCTCACTTATTTGACACTTTCTAAAAAGTACTGGTGCTTATTAGACACTTTTCCATGTTACAAAATATAGTACTTATTGTAAGACCACACATAAGCTGTAAATCAAGACCTTCTGGGAAAGGATTTTTATAAATGACTAACATACTTTTCTGCAATCGTCTGTAGGATTCATCCCACAAGAATTTTCTAATATTTTCCTTCATATCATACTAACACATTTCTAATATAATCTATTCTCTAAGGTAATAGCATAATAATTAACTTGCTTCTGATCAATATAATATTGGAGAAGTATGTCATGAAAGATAACAATACATACTTTCCCACTAATGCCTTTCTCTTACTTTATTGAGTATAATTTATATGCATCATACATAGTTTATATATCCAAATATACATGGATATTTTATATATTACATAATTTATAAATGGAAAAATTCACAAATCTTAAGTGTACAGTTAATTAAATTTTTATCTATCTATATAATGCCTGGTTACATATGTAATCGCCACTCAGATCAAGATATAGTTCACTTGCCCAAAACGTTCCCTTATGCTCCGAGATATCCACATGTTCTAGGCAACTGCTATTCTGACTTCCATCAACATAGATTTGTTTTCCTTATTCTTAAACTTCATATCAATGAAATGTAGTATGTTTAATGCATCTGACTTCTTTTTAAAACATTTTATTTTTAATCATTATGGATACATGATAGTTGTAAATTTTTGTGAGGTACATGTGATATTTTGATGCAAGCATACTATGTAATGATTAAATCATGGTAACTGAGGTATCCATCTCCTCAAGCATTTAGCATTTCTTTGTATTAGGAACATTCTAATCTCATTCTTTTAGTTATTTTGAAATATACAAGAAATTATTGTTAGCTACTGTTGTTCTGTTGTGCTACTGAACACTAGATCTTATTTCTTATAACTTACTTTTATACCCTTTAACCATCCCCTTTTTATCCTGCCCTCTGCACCCTCTGGAAACCATTATTCTACTCTGCATCCATGAATTCAACTAAATTTTAGCTCCCACATATGAGCGAGAGCATGCGATATTTGTCTTTTTGTGCCTGACTTATTTCACTTAACATAATGTCCTCCAATTTCATGCACATTATTGCAAATTGACAGGATTTCATTGTTCTTAAGGCTGAATAATTTTCCATTGTGTGTATGTACCATATTTCCTTTGTCCATTCATCTGTTCATGGATAGTTATGTTGATCCTGCATCTTGGCTATTGAGAATAGTGTTACAATAAACACGGGAGTACAGATATCACTTCAGTATGTCGATTTCCTTTCTTTGGGATATATACCCAACAGTGAGATTACTGGATCATGTGGTAATTCTATTTTTACTTTTGGAGGATAATGCACACTGTTCTCCACGGTGGCTGTACTAATTTATAGTTCCACTAGGAAGGTGCAAGTGTTCTCCTTTCTCCACATCCTTGTCGGTATTTATGAATGATATCTGGCTTCTTTTTACTAACATAAGATCTTACAAAATAGACAATTTTCCATATGTCTGTGTATCAGTAATTTATTTACTTTTCAGCATTTAGCTATTATAAAGCCGATGTGAAGATCTTTTTGTATATATCTTTTGATACACACACCTTCATTTATCTCGAGTGTATAGCTTAGAAAACTGCTGAGTAACAGGACATACATATTTTAGTGGATACTGCCAAAGTTCTCCAAAGTTATCAAACATGTCACACTCCCACCAGCAATGTATGAGAAAAATATTGCTCCACCAAAAAAAGTGATGAATGTTTTGTTCGGAAATAATCACATACACACAAACATATTCACATACATAAAACACACTTCCCTTTGGGTCTCTGTTCATTTTTTTAAACATTTTTTGTGTGACTTTATTATTTGTTTTCAGCTCAGACAAAAGACTGAGACGTTGTAATCCAAATTAAATAAATTGAAAGTGGAAAGTCAAGACGAACATATTTTCTTCATAAGTCATATTTCTTCTCCATAAGTTAGATCAGTGTTTCCTCAACTGTGCTCAAATATATATATATTCTTTGAAAATGGCATCAAATAGATTTGAAAATGCAACACATTATGTCATCTACACACTATAAATGGACCATTGTTTTAATTCACATATTAGCGGTTTAGAGAGGTCCCACAGTGAAGATACTTACCTAACCTTGTGTAACTCATTGCTTCATAAACCTTTATTTGACCACGGAACTCTATTCTATTCTTTCTTAAGTATACTTATTAATATCTTTCAGAACAATCTATTTGCTTTGAATCAGTCTTTAGATCAATCTGAAATTCCTTTTGATTTAATAGTAATTCATAAATCAGAGAAAAGTTTTCTTTAAATAATACAAATCTCATCTAAGTATGCTTATGAGAGTATTAAGCTTTGAGAATAGATAAGATATTGGGGGGGTGCTGTGTCTGGCTGTTAAATTTATTTTTTTAAATGGTATCCAACTACCCACCAAGATCTCATCAGCCATACCTCTCTTTTACTAATCTTCTGTACTTCAAAGCCCCAGCAGCATGTAATTTGGCATGACATGTTTATAAGTAAAACTTCTGGGTAGATTAGTAGATATATGATAAGAATACCAATTACTATTTCCTTGGAATCACCTTTAGTGAAGATATATGATGTGAGAAAATGTAAAAGATTATAGGAAGTAGACTATACATACATAAGATCCTTAAAAGGGGCAAAAACAGGAGAACCACTGAATAAGACAAGTCTCAGGGTAATGTTCATCAGTCTCCAAAATCAACAAGGCTCCAAATTGGTATTTGTTGCTCAGAAGAGAAACTACAGCCTTGTGGAATGGTTAAAGAAGATATCTACTCCAAGCAAATTTAGTTTCATTTATCCAGGGTCGCTTCTGTAAAATAGGTTAATAAATTTTCCTCTTATTCTTTAACATAAATTCTACTAAATCTAATTTAAAATATCAAAAGTAGATCCAGGGACAAATCCAAGAAAAACAGTGCCATTTAAAAGGGAAATGTGAAACCAATTTCACCACTAAGTGTGAGTCTTCAGGCACTTTTTGAATATTAACCACAATAAATCCAATGAACACAATGAGCTCAGGGAGTCGCCACTGCACTAAAAAGAAAACGGCTCACAATGAGGTGCCTTAGATACCTGGCTGGGACTCTTGCTCTTTTGAAATGAGACCACAGTTTACATTGAAAAGTATATGATTTCTTGTAATAATTTTCATTTGGCATTTTTCACCTGGGTTAACACGTCATTCCCAGTCCAACTGAAGGGCAAACATAAGCTTCACTTACCTGCACAAAACCACATGCTGTGAAGTCCTCAAACAAGGGCAGACTTGGGCGGTCTTCTCTATAGATGGTGAGTTTGTATGCAATCAGGGTATCTCCCTGGGCAGGAGATCCATCCACCACAAATATTGAGATTTTGTTCATTCCTAAACCCAGGGGGTAGTTGGAAAAGCTGGAGAGAGGTGAATGGGGACGGAGGAAAGGAGAATGAATATGAGTAAGGGAAATTTATTCAGCTCACTGATTCATACATAATATTTATAAATGACTACTATTTAATTTTTAAAAAACAGGTGAGGTCTGTACAATTGAATAAGAAACCTAAAATATGAAAATAAATTAAATATTTGCTTCATAGTACTTTGCTATGCCTATAGTTATCTTGTGGAGCTAGTCATGTCCACAATTAACTTAAGAAAAGGAAACTAATATTTATTAGCCTCCTGTCAAGGTCAAGCATTATCTAATTTTTTTTAAGTTGGAGTCTCACTCTGTCTCCCAGCTGGAGTACAGTGGCACGCTCACGGCCACCGCAGTCTTGACCTGCTGGGCTCAGGTGATCCTTCCACTTCAGCCTTCCAAGCAGCTGGAACCACAGGCATGTGCTACCACACCCAGTTAATTTTTTGAGTTATTGTAGAGATTTTTTGCCAAGTTGCCCAGGCTGGTCTCGAGCCCCTGGACTCAGGCAATCCTCTTGCCTCGGCCTCCCAGTATTAACCAATTTAATACAACTACTATGATTGTCCCCATTTTAAATATAGAGACCACAACATAGAACTGGTAAACAAATTGCCCAAATTCACAAAAAAGAGTCAGAATTGGGACTCCACTGGTCTGCCTTGAATCCTCTTTTCTTTCTAATAGAATCTCCTGGAATAACAAGTGCATTTTTCTCCCTACAGCACTGAACCATGAGTATCTTCTTTGCTATGGACATGAAATGTAATAAAATTCTACTTTCTGTTCAAAATTATGAACAAAAGTTGGTGACTTTTAAGGAATCAAAGAAAAACATCCCAGTGAGACTAGGAAGGTTGTTGATACTGTGTCCACAAATTGTTGCAAACAAGTTGCATACTCCTGAGTATTCAAAAACTGTACTGTTCAACAATCTAAAACCATGAAGACAACAGTAAGCAACATTTTTCCTTAATGAGTTTTCTCAGTGTTTCATATAACAAGATCCTCTCTTGGTTAAAACATTGCTACAAAGATTAGTTAAAAAGATTACTAATGACTCAGTAGAGCACCAACTTGTTCTTTTAAACCAATTAACACCTGAGAAGGAGAAATATCACACCCTGGCAATCTCCCAGCTGATCTTATGACTCAGCTTTTGTGAACCATTTTCAAAGGTTGCATCAAATATCTACTTCCCAGTCTGGTGTCTCAACTCAGTCTGGTTGGCATCCCATACCTTGGACCTGCCTGCTCATGCAGGTGCACCTTGCACTGACACTTAGATGTCTCCACTCCGATTGTCACTGTTACCACATCAAATGGGACTTCAGCATAGTAATCTTTGATCTTTGGATTAAACTCAGGATTTAGTTCCAAATGTGGATGTGTGAAGATCTGCTTGATGTGACATGGTATGTTTTGATCTGTTTTAAACACACACACAGAACGACAAAGAAGAGACAACTGTGAAATGGATAAATGTCTTAAATCACATATAATTAAGTTTTTTGTTTGTTTGTTTTTCATTCCTTTGAACAACTTCAGTGATCACTGTTAACTGTCCATTCCATACCTTGGTCATAGTTGATTTGTAGCTTCAGTTGGGTTTTCAATTGGCCCAAATTTGTAGAAATTGCAACATATAACAACTGCTGAATTCAGTTTGTGATATGCAGATGAAATTATTTGCTCAGCCCTTGAAAGTTTAAAGGCACAGAAGGTGGGGAAAATGTCCCTCTTGTAAACTGACAACATTTACATGATATTTACTGTATTAAGCAACTGTATAAATGGAGATGATGGTTCTGTGGGATAGTGGTAGAAGGGGACCAGCAGAGAATGAGGAAAATTTATTAACAGGGAGTGTCATTAAAAAATGTCACTTGTTTGACATAGTATCTTATAGGCAGTAGGGTGAGGCAAAGAATGCAAACTCCCAATATTATATCAAACACTCAGCTACAAAGACAACAATAAGAGCATCCTGAAAGCCCTTCCTCCGCAGACTACCTCAAGTTACTATATGCCTACTCTCAGAAAGAAATAGTATATTGGTCGATCATGATACAGAACCTGGAATATTATTACTTCATACCATTGATTCTCAGGCATTAAAAATCTTTCTATCTGGAAGCTCAATTTTTATAGCTCTATCTTGGTGAGATAAAAAGAAAAATAGATTTATAGGCATATATAGCAGCCACTGCTAAATGATATTCAGTTTAGTGTCTAGAATAAACAAATTACCAAAAAGCTTAATAAAATATTTTCAAAGAAATATCAACAAGTATTTTGTTCCATCAGTCCTCTTCAGTGGTCACAAAATTCCAACAGAAGACAGAATTTTTTTAAAAAAAACATAGCATCAGAAAAGATAAAAAAAAAATCGGCTGCAGGAAGCTATAAAACTGATCATAATGAAATTATTCTATTAACAGTTGTCTTGTCCTCTACTTTTTCATAGCTATAAAAATGCTTTCTCTAAAACAAAATCTGACCATGTGTTTTCCATTCTTTAGTGTTTGTTCCCCACTTCCAGAGTCAAGTGCAAGCTGCTAATAAGGAAGTCAGGGCATTTGATGAATCCTCCCTTGTCTCGCTCTCTAGTTCTGTCCCCCATGATGTCTTGGACATTATACTTCAACAAGACCTAAAGGTTTGTGTTTCTTTAATAGACATAGATCTGCACAGACAAATCCATGTCAGTGAATACCAACAACCATATCAATGCCTTATTCTGGTTTTGAGGACTAGGTCTCAGGATGACTCCCATTATACACTCAAAGAAAATGAAAAAAAACTTATGTATTTCTGACCACATTCTATGGTTTTCTCAGACTATGGAAGAAAAATTAACATTCATGTATAAATTAAGGACAACAATAATACAATGAATATACTGTAATTCCATTTTAGGGAAAAGACAATAAAAAAATAACCATTCAATCTGACTAAATAACTCAGTTAATTGTATAAATTATCTGTGTATTTGGTTGTTTGGTTTTTGTTTTTTTGAGTTACAGTCTCACTCTGTCACCTAGGCAGTGGCACACTGACAACCACCACAGCCTCAACCTGCGGGGCTCAGGTAATTCTTCTGCCTCAGCTTTCCAAGTAGCTGGAACTACAGGTACATGCCACCATGTCCAGCTAATTTTTTGATTTATTGTAGAGATGAGGTCTCACCATGTTTCCCAGGTTGCTCTTGAACCCCTGGGTTCAGGCAAGCCTCTTGCCTCTGCCTCCCAAAGTGTTGGGATTACAGGCATGAGCCACTGTGCCAGGCTGTGTATTTGTTACTTGACTTAATGGTCCACCAAAGATTTTTATCTGCCTGATAGATGTAGGTGATCTGCATCAGTAACTTCAGTGACCATACCAGTGCCTGAAATTTTTTATAATAAGAGGGGAAAAAACAAAAGAGTGAAGCAGAAATTGTCTTACTATAATTCATTCTGAAAAGGAACACAGTTTTTAAGTTAAATTCAACCACTTAATTAATGTGCTTTTTTTATCCAAGTTTTTTTCCTAAGCGTTTTCTATGTTCAAGGCAAAAGAGGAGCACAGTAAAAACAGGATATCATTAATCATAAAATCTGATACAGATGGATGCTTCAAACCCAGCATCATATTAAACACACTGTCATTGGCATATGAACGGTGCTTTGGAGCAGACCACTGTAGAAGCACAGAGGAAATAGGAATATTTACACTATATTTTATGCTCCAAACTAGCTAAATGTACAACAAAGTGATAGATCTCTTTTCAAAATAAAACATAGAAGTATTCTCACTTAATGCGATATATTTTATAAAGATCTGTTGAGACCCAATTTCCCTTCAGTTTACACTTTCATTTACTAGTTCATTTGCCCCCATTATAAACTGAAACTCGGACCTACGTGAGATGAGATATATGTGCCGTCATTCCCTTCAGCAAGATTTTAGCAAATGCTTCTTTCTGGTTTCATCAGAAACTCTCCACCTCTGGGGTGAGCACTGTCCTAACCTCCTGTTTGAAAGCTGATTTAGTTCTGACATCATCTTCAACTGAATCATCCATGTTGCCGCCTACAAACACCTGGTGTTTCCTTGGCATCTTTCCCATCTCAGTCCCAACTTGTCTCAGGCTGGCTTGCCTGAGATTTAGGGAGAACCCAGCAGGAGGTATGGTGGTATCAGGCTGCTTAACCTATTTGGCAAGTATATATGAGAAAGCTGTTTGAAGTTTTGGTTGCTTTTAATGGATTTTTTTTAACCATAGAATTTTATTGCCCTCTTGAGGGATAATCATAACTCATATTCTCAATGAAAACAGCCCAGTCTCTTAAAGATAATCCTACATGCTCTGAGACATCAAGTTACTTTTTAAAAATCTTATACCATAAAAACAGGGACATTAATTATAAAGATCCAGGTAGGACTAGTTTTTTTTAACAACATAAAAACATGAACAAAGTTAAAGAGCTTATCTAACATGTTCGCATTTTCTATGCCAAGTTACCTGGGAACTTGGGGGAAAAAAGAGAGAGATCATACAATACATTCTTTTCATTTTGTAAGTGAGAAAATAGAATCCCAAAGTGGTGAAGTGACTTTCCTGATGCTGCGTCTCACTCCAGTCCTGGCACAGAGTAGATGTTCATTCTGATTTTCTTCCCAGTTTCCTCACTAGTCCTTTCCCCATCACACTCTAGACAACAGTTTCCCAGGATATTTCTAAGGGTAGGATGTTGGGTCATGAGTGCAGGAAAGGAACGGCACATGTCATACCTGTTATTTTCCTCTCTTAGCAATATTTTATTTAAAATGCTATTTTCTTTAATTGGATGTATTTGTTAATTTAGTTAAACTAAATTATTACAGAACTTCTTCAGTCTGCCATGATTTTAACAGTAGTGTTAAAACATCATGAAGGAATTAAATTGCATTTTAGAAGTTAAAAATTAGATGTTATTAAATTAGAAGATTTCTATTTATAATAAATTAAACTCAAGTCCATACATTTTTTTTTCTGCTTCAGTGTATCAATAAAACTGGTTTTTCATTTGTGAAAAGCTAAATTTTCTAAATGTATGTTTTAGCAGCAAATATATATGTATATATATATGTATATGAAGATACGAATTATCAAAAACCAAGCTTGCTATGTAGAACTCTTAGTTTTCTTTTCTTTTCTTTTTTTTTTTTTTTTGAGTTGGAGTCTCACTCCGTCGCCCAGACCG